GCCACACTAATATAGAACTAGACTTCAAACGAACGCAGCAGAAAAGGAAGAGGAAGAAGGAAACTGAAGAATCACGAACCTATAATTTTAGAGGGTGGACCTTGTCCTAGTAGTGGGAGAAAGGTTGGGTAAACGATTTCTCTGCGTGCATTTATACCTGGGTCTCCCCGTTGCAATTCGGGGTCAAAGAACGTCTCCCTACGGACGTGAAGGTTTCCTCGTTGCGGGTGCTGTGCAGAGTTAGAATAATTCATCGTTACTTTTTGGCTTCCCGTAATAATCCGCGCAACGCCCACCGATTATGCGCGCGTTGACCATGCCCGCGGGCGATTTCCCATACGGCAACACCATAGGGCTCGATTCTCCCTTGTTTCTTCTCCTTTGCCCTTCCATCGACCGTTCCCTGAAAAAAGAAATCGGACTCCCTCTTATTCCCTTGTCTTCTCTCTTTCTTCGTCTCTTTCTCTCGCGTTTATTAAAATGCACCACGAGGAGCTGCGAGGCGGACCCTGTTCCTGGTGGCTCCCATAACGAAATTACTGTGATTAGCCGTTCACCCTCCCACGCTAACCACCGTTCTAACTTGCCCTAATTCTACCCCCGCGGATCCCCCTTGTGTTTTCCTTTTGATCGCGACGCACCAAGGTTACCGTGAACGCCAGTTTTCGTGTCGTCTACAAAGTGGATCCTCTAATGGCCTAATTTTTGTTCCCCGTGAGGACTGCTCTTGAAGATCCTTTAATTTTTGGGGTGAACGAGCGATTAGACACTGAGGCAGAGGTTAGATTTGAAATTCTTTTGGATGTTTGTGGTATTGATAGACTCTTTGTGTCTGCTTATGGACTAAAACTTTATCCTTTTATTATCATTTCTAATTTCATAGTTACCGGCAGTAATGATAATTACTTCAACATTGTTAAAATGTAAACAGAAACATTTCTCTAAAAATTTTTCATCAACTCCTTGCATACTTGATTATTTATTTCCATATTTGCATTGTCGCAATATAGACAGTGAATTGTTCACATGTAAAATAATATTCTTCGATATATATAAAAATATACCTATAAATATGTACCTACAATGTGTAAAAAATAAATTTGTGTATAAATAAGGAGTAGGTCCACTCTTGTCGTTGCCCCGTCCTTATAACCATAGAAATGTTTTAAACATATCACCGGTGCTTTTTTATCGAAAATAGTAGATGGTCCGTCGATGTTCCGAAGAACGTTTGGATTAGCGAGCCGGTCGCAAAGAGCACTTTAACGAATTCCAATCGGACCCCGATAAGATAGATAATGTACAACTCGCATCGTGTGTCGCGGAATAACATCGAGATTAAATCACCCTATCGCGTCAGCCGTGTTACGCTCTAACGACGCTTTAACGAGCAACGAAAAATAAACTGGAAAATGCTTGCTCGCGAACCAGCCATCTCCCAAAGTTCATTAATCACTTGGAAAGACGAGTAGTCAGGCCGTTTACACAAAGAGCACCCAACGGAGTCAGTCACTGTTGGCGTTCCAAAATTCATCTCTCGCTATTTCGCACCGTAACATCACGATTTTCTATTTCTACGAAATTCTAGCATCGTGAATTATTCGGAAGAATATTTGTCGTGTTGCCGTGGTAGCCAGTCCTCTCGAAGCTTTTCCGTCTCGGGTAAGAAACGACAAGATTCGAGGGGTCCGCAGGTTCGTGGTAAGAGGTCTGAAAGTCTCAGAAAACCTGGGCAAATTCCAGGAAGCCGGGTCCCCTCGAGGCCCAGGCAGACCCTTTTTGTCCACCTCCACGAGGAGATCCCATAAAGATAGGGCCATGGACGCGGAGAGGGACCAGTTTTCGGGGTCCTATACCATTTATTACGTGACGTGGCGCAGATCTTTTCACGGACAGATCGTACGAGGAGGAGGAAAGGCAAGGCCAGATGTGTGGTTGGTGCTGCTTTAAGGATCTTCCTGCTTTTACGGGGTTTCAAAATTTCAACTATCCTTCTCCATCTGCAAGGCGACACTGCGTTCTCGCGTTTCTGGTCATCCTCTCTATGGGTCACGTTCACACAAGTGTTCTTTCCCTGCGCGAGAGGAAAAAAATCGAAAGCTGTTCCCCACACGGTGGCCAGGATATTTTCGAGCGAGTTTATCCGCTTGCTAACGAGTCAGGACATTTGTCCGTCTCTACGCTTGGAAGACAAGGGCGAGAAGAGATTTTCAGATAGGTCACGGGTCGAATCGACCTTCTCGCTCAAGCCACGTCGGATTACCGGTCAATAAGGTCCTTTCGACACGGGTTCCTCCGCTGGCTTCGATCCAACTCCCATAAATCTCTCGGCCGCAAATTTACACTGTTTTATCGGCGTAGATTAGCTTTATCTGAACGACCTTTCTTAGCTACCGTCGCGACTTTGCAACTGCTCGATTTTCTCTTTGTACTCCCAGTTTTCGTAGCGGACTTGAAAGTTTGTCGTTGGCGAATTCTTTTCTAGGTTCTTTTGTACCGAGATGAAGAAACAGATTCGGTATCAGCGTTACGAAAACTTCTTACAGTTATCCGAGTAACAATATCGTACAGGGAAAATATTCTTCTGGATTGTGTAAACGATGCAATCTGATCATCACATTATCTATATATCATTAAGACACGTGTACATATACTTTTGTACTTTGGAGTTTGTTCGAAGCTGTATGAATATTATAAAATATTTGCAAGCACTTACGACAAAGACTGCCTACCTTATCAGCTTACTCGTTTCCTCATTTTTTGTAATCGTTACGGTGTATGTCTAAATCAAGGAACAGCGAAAATGATAAGATTATGATGATTTCATTAAATCGAATAATCATTTTGCCCCCAGATTATTAGCACATTTAAATTATTTAAGAAAAATGAATATAAATAAAAAATGACTCTTTCTTGAGTCTTTCTTTGTCCTTGACTCGACCTCCACACAAGGTACCCCATCGTACGTAGATTAAATAAGTTCACAGGGAAGTGCAGGGTTTATAGCAGCTTAGAGCAGGAATAAAAATCGCAGTGTACATTTGAGTCCCAATTTCCCCCGTGTTTTCGGGAAACGAGTTCCTTGTCGAAAGTAGACGATGAACCGAGGACAGGTAAGGATCTGTGTCTGGGTAGGGGGAATCCGAACCAGATGGACCTGTTGGGACCTGTTCCGACTCGCAGGTGCATTCGTACGGGCCGGGGTTCGTGGAGGAAAATAATGCACAGGTCGAGCGAGAAAAAGGACAAAGGGAGGAGGTGTGGGCGCGTCTTTTGCGCCGTTCAGACACCCTGCTGTCGCCCGGTTTGTCGAAACCCATCACCGATTATCCGAAACGTCGCCAATAATGTCGATCGAAAGCTCGGTCCATCTGGTCGGACATCTAATAAAAATAACGTTAGATCAACCGGTGTTCCTTGGATAAATACATTCGAGGCGGGATTTCGCGGCGTGAATTATTTATGAAGGTAGCCACGGTAAAATTTAATCAGCGATATACTCGTCGTAAACACTGGCCGAGAAGTTTTGCGTCGTTTTAGAGAGCTCGCAGTAAAAAAGTACAATTTCGAAACCGGGCCCCGCGGCTCTCTGTGTGCGTGCGGCGAAATAAAAGAAAAAGGAACCGACAAGATACACGAAACGCTGGCAATGCCAATGCCAATAAGAATATTAAGGCTGGCCTTAAAGAGGTGCAAAAAAACCACTCTCACCGTCTCCGTCTGGTGTCTGTCTGCCTGGCGACTGTCTGGCTCTCTATGCCTGCGAACCGTGCCGCTGTCCCAGCGATTTATGGATCTACTCGCTACTCTTTCGACGTAATTGACGAGTAGTAGGCTGCCTGCGGTCGACTTGAAAACTTTGGAAATCTCTCGGCGATCGTTTTCCTTTGTTTGCGTGTTTCCTTTGGATCAGGTGACTGCGAACGTTTGCGATCGGACGGTGATTTATGGTTTCAGGTGGGACCTGAAATACTGAGGCCAAAGAACTGACAGCTTTTGGGTATATGGACTGGTACTGTTTTGTTACCGGGGCTTAGAAATGTAGGTAAAACGTGAATGCGTTTGTATTTGAAAAGAAGAATGATTATCTGGAAGAAGATTATGAAGAGAAGCTTGTAAATCAGCAACCTACAGAGAAAATGTTCTGGTTCGTAATTTCGAACAGTTGTCACTTTATCGAAGATATTTCAGGTATCTTTTTTATTTGCGCATATCGAGAGTTACTACTGGAGGGCAAGGACCTTTATAAATTCGAGTCTCGATGTAATATTTAGCGAGGCCCGTGACCGCGAAGGATTTAAATTATAGGGGGTTGCCATTAAAAGGATTGAGCCGGCCCGAATACACAGGGGCACATAATACGACGAAATTTCTCATGTGCGGGGACAATAGATCGTACGCGTTACGGCGATGCCCATAACGCTTGATAAACGAGTAAATTTTCTGGCTTCCCATTTAAGCGGAGTGTCGTGCACGCGCTTTTGCCTGCCACTTTGACTCCCTTTATTCTCTTCGTTTCACGGAAAAAAGATCCCAGTCCCGTAACCGGCGCGAAATTTATCGCGGAGCATTTACAATCCCGGTCGAAGCGGCGTGTCCGGTCGTGTTTATCGGTTTTATCGTGGCCGATTCGTCCGGCCATCCTGCGTGAAAAATTGTCTTCTCCCGTTTCCTGGCTGGCGCGTTTCCTCCGCGGGTGTTCCTTGGATAAATACATTCGAGGCGGGATTTCGCGGCGTGAATTATTTATGAAGGTAGCCACGGTAAAATTTAATCAGCGATATACTCGTCGTAAACACTGGCCGAGAAGTTTTGCGTCGTTTTAGAGAGCTCGCAGTAAAAAAGTACAATTTCGAAACCGGGCCCCGCGGCTCTCTGTGTGCGTGCGGCGAAATAAAAGAAAAAGGAACCGACAAGATACACGAAACGCTGGCAATGCCAATGCCAATAAGAATATTAAGGCTGGCCTTAAAGAGGTGCAAAAAAACCACTCTCACCGTCTCCGTCTGGTGTCTGTCTGCCTGGCGACTGTCTGGCTCTCTATGCCTGCGAACCGTGCCGCTGTCCCAGCGATTTATGGATCTACTCGCTACTCTTTCGACGTAATTGACGAGTAGTAGGCTGCCTGCGGTCGACTTGAAAACTTTGGAAATCTCTCGGCGATCGTTTTCCTTTGTTTGCGTGTTTCCTTTGGATCAGGTGACTGCGAACGTTTGCGATCGGACGGTGATTTATGGTTTCAGGTGGGACCTGAAATACTGAGGCCAAAGAACTGACAGCTTTTGGGTATATGGACTGGTACTGTTTTGTTACCGGGGCTTAGAAATGTAGGTAAAACGTGAATGCGTTTGTATTTGAAAAGAAGAATGATTATCTGGAAGAAGATTATGAAGAGAAGCTTGTAAATCAGCAACCTACAGAGAAAATGTTCTGGTTCGTAATTTCGAACAGTTGTCACTTTATCGAAGATATTTCAGGTATCTTTTTTATTTGCGCATATCGAGAGTTACTACTGGAGGGCAAGGACCTTTATAAATTCGAGTCTCGATGTAATATTTAGCGAGGCCCGTGACCGCGAAGGATTTAAATTATAGGGGGTTGCCATTAAAAGGATTGAGCCGGCCCGAATACACAGGGGCACATAATACGACGAAATTTCTCATGTGCGGGGACAATAGATCGTACGCGTTACGGCGATGCCCATAACGCTTGATAAACGAGTAAATTTTCTGGCTTCCCATTTAAGCGGAGTGTCGTGCACGCGCTTTTGCCTGCCACTTTGACTCCCTTTATTCTCTTCGTTTCACGGAAAAAAGATCCCAGTCCCGTAACCGGCGCGAAATTTATCGCGGAGCATTTACAATCCCGGTCGAAGCGGCGTGTCCGGTCGTGTTTATCGGTTTTATCGTGGCCGATTCGTCCGGCCATCCTGCGTGAAAAATTGTCTTCTCCCGTTTCCTGGCTGGCGCGTTTCCTCCGCGCGGATCGTCTCGAATCCGCTCCGATTAATCGAGGATCGTGCGCCGCCACTGAAAATCCAACCAGACCAGATCGTGCCAGATTAGAAACATTTTATCGCGAAATTATTCGCTTATCCACTTCCGGCCGTTTCACGGGCTTGTTAAGTCGAATAAGAACGGTCGGAAGGCCTTGTCTTTTGAAGAGATTTTCAAAAACTGACACGCGTTTCCGCGGAATGAGAAATTGCCTTGCCGTTGAGACGAAGTTCATGGGCAGGGAACCTGACACGCTCGGAATTAATTTCGAGGTCGTTGCATTCTCATACTTCGTCTCGAATTCACATTTCTCATATATTTGATGATTTTAGCATCACTGATCTGATTATAGGATAAGAGTTTTCATTGGTTAATTATTTGCAGAAGATAAACGTTGTACGTTGAAAGAAAGTACAAATGGGTAAGTAACTATCAGAACGACGTGGACGCGAACGAAGGTCGATGCCCATGAATTTCGTCGGCGATCGCGTGCACCGAGCCGCGGTAACGAGGTTACGCGATGCACGTAAGTGCTGTAAGAGTTCGTCGTCTTCTCGCATACGTTTGTTCGATTCCCGTAGTTGAGCGGGTGAGTCATCGGGTTCGTTTCCTGCTGTTGGAAGGTCCGTCATACGATGTTCGAGTTAACTCCACGGTTCTGGTTTCATGGATGGGCATGGTAGGAGGGAGGGCGGAAGGGTCCCTCGGGTTGGGACCGAGTTTCGATGCTTCGAAAAACTGTCCGGGATTGGTCGGTTGCTAGGCACGAACCTGTTCTTTCGAAAAATCACGTGATTCATCTCGCTTCTGACTAACCTGCCTGATATTTCGCTGAATCCCCCTGCGATGCCTTTCGCTTTGATGAGTCAATGGTCACAGATAGCGGCCACTGTACACACAAACAGTGCAACCTGGGAATATCTGTATCGTCAGCGACCGGTGGATCGTTGTTAGACGGCATGTCACCTGTGTTTGATCCGCGATATCGTTGAGAATGATAAACGAATTGGAAGCAGGTTAAACGCCGCACCTCCAGTTGTTACGTAACATCCACGTCGTTTATTGTCATCGAGTTTTGATTCTTTTCTTGTGTAATCGGATAATGATGGTCGTTATTTATGATTTGCAATAACAATGCTCGAGATTGATATGTCTTACAATGTCAGTCACTTTGAACTTCACTCGAAAGTTCTTGAGAACCTCCAAAACTATGAGGACCTTGAAATCCTTGAAAATGTTGAACATCTCCAGATATTTAAAAGCCTTGAAAATTTCGAAGAAGTTAAACGAAGAAAGTTCGTGAAGTTTTGAAGTTTCCGAGGTCCTGATTGAAAATCTTAACACGTTCGCGACTGAGTTTTCTCTTCCCGAATGTACCATTGATGACTCAGCCCGTCATGAATATATTAAAGACCTTAAAAATTGTGAAAATCTGAAAAAGCTTTGAAAATTAAAGTCTTAAAAGATTTTTTTGTAAGTAATGTTGATACGCATTACTCCCCAACAGAAATATTTCACCACATTAGCTACCATTTTCAGCTATCTGAAAGTAAACAGCGTAAGCGACGCTGATCCACGTCCCCTCCACCCCTGTTGAAAAGTCACCGACAAAAATACGGTGTCAAAGTCCACAATAGAGCGAAATATTCTTGAAGTGAAATCGTAAGAGAGAGAGAATACAATGGACCAATTATATCAAGAAATTCCTGTGCGATAGTATCACCCCCCGCGATCACATATTTGCCCGCGCAAGTTCGCGTCACGTGGAGGAGGAAAAGAACGCGCTACAACCGATAAGGAAAGTCACGAAAAAAATCTTCCGTGGAAGTTTATCGGCTTGAAATGACATGATTCATCGGCCTGGTATCTGCCAATGATGGCGGAGGCAACGTGCAGGTAACATCAGGATTGGCCAAGCAGGGTAGCGAGACCTGGAGTAGCGCGTCCCGATTGGCGGAAGACAGACGAAGGCGCGTGTCCGGAACCCCTCCTTGTGCTAGTCGATAAATCTTTTCGAGATTAGAGCGGCCACAGGCACGATAGACAATTTAAAAATTAGTCCGAAGAAGCTTACTTTCGTTAAATCGTCGCCCAGTACTGTTCGGAGAGTACAAGTGCTGTGAATTTCGTTTGCCGGATTCTAATTAAGGTAAGCATATTTATTGTTTTGTTACTTTGTTTCTCTCTTATCGATGCACGTGTGATAATGATTTCTTTAATGTTCGTACGTGATCGATGGCACGTTACGTTGCGCGAATTTGATACGGTTTGTTGCTTTGCGGTTCCTGGTAAATTGAATGTGAAGTATAGGTACACTTGACGGGCGGAATAAAGTCATCGGTATTATCTGTGAAAAATTGATTGAGTGATAAGTTAACTCATCGTATTTGGTTAAGTTAGTACGTTGATCATCCATGTAAAAAGATTGAAGTGTGTAGGTGGGCTTTCATATATTTATTCTTAAGAACATCGTTAGCTCTGGTCCATGTTTCAAAGCTAAGTTCTCCATCTCTAATTTATATTATTGGTATACCAGCTGTTCTGTTCGAATATATTTTTCACTCCTCATTTATTGATTACTCGATCACATTACATCTCTTCAAGTATTCAGATTCTATTACTTTTAATTCATGTCTATCTATGGTACGCATATTTTATTATTCACCTAAGTTATCTACTGCTGATTATTTCTCATGAAATTGCTGATGGATCTCTATGAATGACATGACACCCAAAGTGTCACCGAGTAAGATGTGTTCAAGTATGGAATTAAATAGTGACATTTGATGGATGTGTTATTTCTTCATCATTGACACATGAAGTCAGTGAACCTCTATCATGTGCAACATCTCAGTAGTCATTTGAACTACACCCTTACATCGTTTGGAACAACTTTTTCATGGTTATTTCAAGTTAAAAGCACCTTAGGTGATTCCTAAACCGGAACACCCAATTAAAGCGTCATAAAAGTGGACACACGGAAGACCACGAGTCAGCTTCGTATTACCTGCGGTTTGGGCGATAGCCACGACCCAAGGTCGACTAACAAAACCCCATCGAATGCTTTAAATAAAAACTGCGTCACGAATTGCCCATTCTGCAACGTAATGACCTTCCAGGCAAGGTCGAGGCATCCTCAAATTAGCCATCCCTTAACCCTTTGTGGTCCATAGTAATCTTCACAGTACCTGATGAAGACATTAATAACATGAGAGTTATAAATAACCTTGGTACAACAGTGTACAACGCTTCGTATAAATATATGCAGGTGAAACAAAAGATTCGTTGAAATAAGGTTATTGTCCTGGCAGATGAGACCTATAAAACCGACGTATCACCACATGTGACACAGGATCACAAAGAGGTCGACTACATCAGTCTATATCATGATCTTATGCTAGAAGTAATTTTATTTAATATCAGGAAGGTCTGCACAATTGTACAAAGATTCTCCAGACCTTTAGAGATCGAAGTTAGAACCATGTCCCACGATTAGGTTTGATGATACTCTTTTTGTTCTGCCTAAACCACACTGCCTATCGAACCTTGATGATACACCTCTCCGGTTATCTGCGATTTCCGCGTGTCTACCTGCATATTACGCCCTCGCAGCTGGAAATGCATGTCCATGCACCTGCGAACGTGCACAAAGTCGCTCGCGTCGTAATCATTCCTCTTTCGCATCTGTTACTCTATCCAGTTCTCCGTACCGTACGTGGTTTGCGTTGTATTTCAACTTTTTTCCCGTTAAACTCGTCAAGGTGACAAGTGTCGATGCGTAAGTGAAATGGGAAAACGCTCGAGTGTTTCGCAACACAATACCTTATCTTGACTCACCGATTAATTATCGCGTGTACGTATCAGCGTACGTTTGGTCAGATCATGTTCGAAGAAAATTAGTATATCGGGTTCACTGTGTTGCGCAGAAAGTTAGATGACGATGTTTTGACGCGAAAGAAGGCGACAGACAAGCAGGCCAACGTTTTGTGGCCTAGGCTACTTATCGCATCCGCAAACACCCTCGCGAGCTCTCCGTTTCCGCTTTTTAGTTTGCAAGCTCGTACTGACTGAGTAATCCGCGTCCTTCGCAGACACGATTGATATAATTCCCTTCCCGGAAGAGTAGTGTGCTTCCAAGTATCCTCTGCTATTTTACACAATTAGCGTTGTATGCATTTTAACGTGCTTGACCGGGAGTTCATGTCAGGGATCATTTATGGGTAAATCAGTGCCTAGGTCGCATGAAGACTGCAAACTGTGAAGGAATCAATATTAGAGAAACAGAAATTTGTACACTTTTGAACACAAAGGATGTGTTGAACACGCGTGCTTTTCCAGCGAAAATGATGATTTCAGAAGAGATCATTTGATGATTTGAGAGGATGTCTAATGACCTGAGGACATTCATACATGAGGAGCTATAACATATTTGAGAGTTAAACTAGCTTAAGCTTATTGTAGTTTATTCTGCTCTTTCCTGGTTTTTGATGAATTTTTATACAGAAAATGTGAAAGTAATATTACTTTTCTGCTCAGTTTAAAAAACTATAATGGACCTGAAGTTAATCTGGCTCTCAAATACAAAATTGACATACTCGGTACAGTTGTAAAATTAGTCCAAACAGAAATAATTATATGGGACCACAGCAAACTGCTGATTACAGTAAATTGTTAACGCTTTCTCGAATTTTTGTCACCCATTTCCTTGAAGATCAGAATGAACGATTGTGGCCAACGAAAACAGGGTAATCGTCGGACGGCTTAAGAAGTCCTGGAAAAACTATTTCCTTTGATACCGAGGTGTTCATTTATCGAACAATCCCATCTCGTTACGTGTGCCTGGTGCACGTGTTCCATAGACTTTCGTGACTGACGTGGTTGCACTTCTTGGAACGGAGTTGTTTCACTTGGATCACTTAGCGGTACGCACTCGGAATGGACGACTTCCAAATGACGAAATTGCCGATATTAGTTGCGTTCTCGGATCTATAAAACGGATTTTTAAATCGTGCTTATTCCTTGCCAATTCAGATGTTTATTCGTGTCTTTATCGCTTTCTCCAACCTGCCTCTCCGTTACGCTTATCAGCGATAACGGAAAGAGGGTGTGTGTCTGCTGTTCGCGAATCGTTGCAACGCAGTGCTGTCTTCAGCGGGGGGCAAATGGGACACTCAAACTTGAAATCTCAAATTTTCATGTCAGGAAATTTTTGAAGTCATTTTTTCAACGTCAGAGACTCATCAGAAATTCTCAAATGTGCAAATTTATAAGTTGAGAGTTCAGATTGGAAAACTTGAAAACTTTCAAAAGTTGAATGCAAGCTCTTTCTATATTGCCGATTACTACAATCCCTGATCTATCAATTGCTGACCTAATAAGGTCATAATAATAAAATTTTGATTTTTATCCCAGGGAGCCCAAATTCTGTGGACATGTCTGTGCCGCATAAATGCACTTGTTCGCGATGAAAGATAAAGAAGGAAAACGGAAACGGCATATCCGAGTGTTACGTATACGAATTCTTTGCTTTCTTCAATCGCAATCACTCGATGAGTTTCAATTTCGACGATAACAGTTCCATTCGCGTGATTTTATTCTCCCCTGATAGAATGTTTCCCGTACGGTTTCGACACCAGAGAGAAAACCGCTTTATTGCTGTTTGATTAAGATACCAACCGGCATCGAACACGAGCGCTCTTTTATTATTTGTTCGAGGTATCATTTCTTCCGGCGAGGATCTCGCGAATTTGATAAACAACCGATACGCCCGTGGTACGTCCACGAATTGGTAATCTAAAACCGTATTGCGATTTAAAAAAATACCTGGCCACAGTTTTCCGGTCAATGTTATCGTCGATTATTTTTCCCTGGGTTTGTCTGCGTGAGTTCACAATCGGTTCCAATAATTTCTCGCGATGCGACATTCTCGGGGCCCGACATTTGCACAAGTAGTAAATCTGGTTCGACGAACTGGCGACAAGGGTGAACGCACCCGATGACCCGATAAAAATGATAAGAAATGCAATTCGTAACGCGGACGTGATAAGTTGAGTCACCTT